GAAACTATTATGAATTCCCCTTCTCTGGCTTTCGTAAATATCAGTTACAACGAGGTTTGCAAGTGAACTTGAGTTTTGAAGTTTAGTCAAACATTTAATGTCATAGGTTTTGATTCTCTTTGTAAGACAACAGCTTNGACAGCTTTCCCCCCCGATTCTCATGCGATTCCCCTCACAATGTCTCGAAGAAGACATTTCGAAACATTTCAAGACATGATGTGGTGCACTAGCTTTCAGGGGTCTTTTTATTTAACTGTTTATTTTTGCAGATGGGAGAGAGCTGGGGGAAGGAGAGAGAAAGGATGAGTGAGAACAGTCACTTCAAAGCACAAAACGTGAGCTGCTTATACAAGCATTAAATAAAGAACAAATCCTAGCACAGAAATAACAAACTGCTCACATCTGGACAGATGTAAGCCACAGTGCCTGAGGTCCACCAGTTCTTGGAGAAGCCGAGGCATCCTCAGGGGTCAGGTGACACCTGCTGAGCCAGGACTATAGATTGGTGGCTGGTGGAGCACAGGACGTGTGTGGAAAGAACCCATGTTTGTTGGCATTTGGGCTCTTGTTGGACTCGGGGCCTAACAAGGTGATGGTGTTTGGAAGAGGGACTCAGGAAGGCACAGAGTAGCGACATCAGCCCAGGCAGGGCAAGGAAGTCCACTTGACCTTGCTTTATACCAGCAACGTTCAGCCCCTTTCACCTCATGGTACACAAGCCAATTACTAAAATTCTGCGGCACACGGAAAAATATGGTATGTATTTTTGCCTATCTGACAAAAAAATAGCTATGATTTGATTATTTCTCACCGGACAGCTACTGTTGTGTTGGCTGCTGTCATTTCTTTATCTGACAGTCTCAGGGAACAGGGGTCAGTGCCCTGACTAAACAGCCAGGTACTGCGTGCTTTAAAGTTCTTGTGGCGTGCCAGTTGAAAATCGCTATTTCGTACAATTTTAATTCCTGCCGTGTCCCCAAGTGTGTGGGCCACAGCTGGCTCCTGAAGGAAGGGAAACAGATCAGGGTGACTTCAAACATCTCGTGGCTTCTGGTTTCTGCTCCAGCCCGGTTCTGTGGTTTGAAATGTAGGGTAGACCGAGGTCTATTTCCCGAGGAGGCGCCTGAGGAAATTGTGTCCAGACTCAGTGGAAACTCTTGTCCATCCGCCATTCATTCCAGAGCCTTGGCTCCTGTGGGGTCTGGATACAGACATGAGACTGTGGTTTAGGTTCTGAGGCAGCGTCTGGAGCCACCCGCCTGCGAGCTGGTGATGCCGAGATCTCGGGCCGATCCCTGGATGGGCCAGGGCCTTGCTGGGACCCCCCACAGTAGACTCACTGCTCACGCCCAGCACCCACCGTCTCACTATGGCTATTGGTCTCAAAGACAGTCTCAGAGAGTGCAGGTGGGGCAGTGCAGGCCCTTGGAAATCAGCAAGGAATAGCCTCTCCTCTTTGATAGAGGCTGGAACTTGAAAGTGATCTCTGTGTGTAGAAAAGCACATGTTGAACTAAGGAAAGGCATTGCAACCTCTTTGCACTGGTCCTCTGTTCATCTCACTCAGTGGAAGTAGTTGGTCATCAGGTGCCCCGCCGTGGGGAAGAGGCTGACTATGCCTCAGCTAATACAGTCATTCTGGAGACAGGCTGTGTGGTTTGGTGTGGTTCCAGGTCCCTGAATTTATGCCCTTGTGTCCATTTGATCTTGTCATTGTGCTTGAACCCGGTGCCTTCCCAAGAAAGCAGAATGACGGTCTTTTGTGAGAGGGGCTCATTCCTGTGCGGTGCTGAGCATCTCTGCCTGGTGCTCAGGAAGACCTTTGGCACTTGGCGCAGAGGCCTGCACGTAACAGGTGCTTAGGAAATGGTGCCGCGGTTCCGATCACCGTGTGAGCCTTTGCAGGGCGGATTAAGGCTCGGTTGACGGCACAGAACAACCACACCAGCCTGAGGCCTGTGGCCACCCGTGGAACAGGGACTGAGTGCTGAGGCTGGGTCAGGGACTCCACCGCTTGTCCTTTCCAGCTGACTTGGTGGAAAGAGTTCTTCAGGGAAAGGGTACGGCACGGTGGAGTGTGAGTCATCTTCAAGGATATCTGGTTGCTCATTGGGTGTATTCCACCGAACCAACCAGAAGAGTGAGGGGAGAGCATGATGCCTGGGATGTGACCATCCTAAGCCTTATCACATAAAACAGTTTTTCACTCTCATGCACACCTAGCTGCCCTGTGTCCTATACCGAATGCCTGTGCAGAGTTCAGCGCCACAGAGACTAGTCCCGGGTCTGCCCAGAGTGTGACCCAGCAGGAGTGTGACCCGCAAGAGCAGCGCCGCCCGGGCAGGAACGCTTGCAGGCCTCCAGAGTTCCGTGATGTCCACCCTGTCATTTGGGGACAGGGTACCTTTTTAATGACTCCACTGGAAACCCATGATGATCCAGTTTCCCTAAAACCCCAAGCACTGCTCTCATTTGCTTGCGGTTGACTGTAGGCAGGATGAGGTAATGAGGGAACCAGAGAAAGCCTGGGTCTAAGTGGAAAGGCCTGTAACGGCTGCTGAGAAACGGGCTGCGCTCTCTGGTGTAAGTAGTGGATCTCAGTCCTGACCAGGGAGTGTGTCCTTCTTTGGGGAAAAGGAGGTGACACGGATGCCATGAGCCCTGGGACTTGAGCAAACTGCCCAGGACTCAGAGTCCATTCTCCTCCGGCCCAGGCTGGGTGGACACCGGCTCCCACACGGGGATCTGGCCCGTGCTGTGTTTCCCAGGAAGGGGAGTCTCCAGCCTCTCATGAGACGTGACCAGGATCCCATCTCCCTGGGGAGAAACACCGGTTTATCTTTACAGGGCCCTGCTGGGCACTGCTCAGAGGGGGTGCAGGTGTAGGATTTAGTTACTGAGCAACTGATGTGTACCTGAGCACCTAGTGTGCCTGGGCTCCCTTTATTTTCAGAAGGACCCCTCCCTTAAATACAGCAGGAAAGAGGACTTGTGCTCTATTTTCACAAGTGGTAAACTTCTCATTGGGCTTTCTCATTTGGGGCAGAACATACAGCAGAGAGGGGAGGAACTCAGATGTGGGGAATGGACGGACCTGGTGTTTTATCCCAGCTCTGCTGCTTGTTAGCTGTGTGACCTTCGGCAAGTCACTTAACCTCTCAGAGAGTCAAAACAAAGAATGATATCAGTGGACTCCTGGGGTTTTGCAGATCAAATGGGAATAATGTTCACAAAGTGTTGGGCACAGCACCCATCATCTAACAACCATTCAGAGAACCCAGTGGCTGTTGCAATTTAATACACAAAGTTTTACTTAGGCCAGGACTGTGCTGTGAGGCTGGGGATACAGAGGGGACCCACACAGTCATGGCACTGCCATCCCTGAGCTTACAGGGATGTCTGGTCTAGGAACTCACATGCAGATTTGGGAACTGTCAGTGTTTAGCTGGCAATGAAAGCCACAGGGGTAGATGTGGCCACCAAGAAAGAAAAAATAGAGCAGAGATATAGGCCCCTGTGACATCTGTGTGCCTCTCATACAGAACCAGGGGACCCTCTGTCCAACTCACCATCAGCAGCACGCACCTCCAAGAGCCTTTCTCAGAAAAGTAATTTCAGGCAGCATTTGTCCTAAGTCTCGGTGTGCCTCTGCCCCCACCTGTCACACCACCTACCACCCCTCCCGCAGTCAGAATTAAGGACGTGATCAGTAAATGAGAATGATTCCTGGGGACACCTGATGTCCTGTGGTTTCCTGCACGCACATCCCCTGCATGTGAGCCCCCTTCGCTTCATACATTCCCACGGCACATACCCGCTCTCTGTGAGAAAGTTCCTCAATAGAGGAACCATTCCCATTCGGAAATTTACTACCCTGCATTTTTCTTGGAGAGATTTGCGGCCCTGGCAGCCCTGTCCCCACCCTCGGGGAGCTCTGTCTGTGGCCGGCTGTGCCTACACGAGTAGGTGAGCTCATCCTTTCCTTAAGCTGTCACACAGGCAAGGGTCTCCTGCCACGCGTCGGAGGGAGAGCCAGGAGGCGGCTCCTCCAGCTCCTTACCCTTGACCAAAGTGCTGCCTGAGGATTCCCCAGCCGCCCCATCTTCTTTCGAGCAATGACTCTGCCCAGGAAAATCTGAGCTCAAGCGTGGAATCGGCAAGGCTGTAATTAGCGAGGACATCTTGTTACAACTCAGGACAGGGACACCCAGGGCTCCTACAGGACTTCTGGGGTTTCTCATATTCCAGGTTTCAAAAAACAAACACTGAGACTGGGCTTTGCCCGGCATTGCGGTTTATGGCAAGAGCCTGTGGCTTTTTGCATTCTTTCAGACGTCTTCAGAAAGCCATCTGCACACCATTTATGGCTCAGAGAACAGCAAGCCGGGCTGGGCCATGGGCTTGGGTGGCAGGAGTGGGCAGAGAAGGCTGAGCCTGCTTTTTACTCTGCTGTTGCCCCAGAAGGGACCTCGGACCGTGGAAACTCCTGTGCTATCCTGAACCAGGAGGCACTCTGAGATCAATCTGTGGTTTGAGGGATGGCAGAGGTGCACAGGGGTTAACTGGTTGGTGAGGGGACCCTGTGCGCCTGGGTCCGAGTCTGCGGCCTGGCACTGACCTTGCATAACGGGCCACTGCTTCACGTCCCTGAGCTCCATCCCATCTCGGGAGTAGGTGGGGGAAGTGTGGGGCTGCTCCATACATCCCGGCTGAGCTGGTGAAGACAACAGTTGTGAAATCGCGTTATTTTCACCCTCCACCTGCCCTGCCACTCTGGGGCTCTCCTCCCCTCCCCCAGCCTCATACAAAAATCTCAAGCAGATTCCAGGGCTTTTCTGGTCCCTTTTGCGATTGGAAGAGAAGCCTTTTGGGAAAGTCAGGTCCATCCCTATATCAGAGCCTCAGCATCTATCCAGGCTACGTCTTTCTTTTCACCCAGCTCAGGCCTGATGCTGGAATTAAAGGTGAGCAGGAGGGGACAAGGGACAGAGGTTTCCTGGGCTTTCCTTCTTCCCCCCTCCCACACTTGTAGCTGCTGCTGGCTCCCCCAGGTTGCTGACTGAGGTGAGGAGGTGGGGGCAGAAGAGAAGGGACGAAATCTTTCTTCTGGTCTCTTAGCTGCCTGTGGACTCTCAGAACCCACTAAAAAAGGGCAGTTTCCATCAGCAAATCTCCATGGCTGTCCTTTGCATTTTTTCTAGATACAGGTCTGCCAGAGGGTCTGCGCCTCATCTCTCCAAGGATGGGTCACCTGGGGACGTTCTGCTTCCCCCTGGGGCTCCTATTTGGCTCTGTGCTGTTGGTGGCCTCCGCCCCAGCCACGCTCGAGCCTCATGGCTGCAGTGACAAGGAGCAAAAGTTGACTGTCAGCCACACCTACAAGATTGATGTGCCCAAGTCCGCCCTGGTCCAGGTGGAGGCTGACCCTCAGCCCCTCCGTGATGACGGGGCCTCACTCCTGGCCCTGGGGGAGGCCGAGGAACAGAATATCATCTTCAGACACAACATCCGCCTGCAGACACCACAGAAAGACTGCGAGCTGGCAGGCATTGTCCAGGACCTCCTGGCCCGGGTGAAGAAGCTGGAGGAAGAGATGGCAGAGGTGAAGGAGCAGTGTGACACCCAGCGTTGCTGCCAAGGAGCTCTTGGTGAGCTTACCACCTGGTATTCATTCAACAAACACTGAAAGAGCACCTTCTAGGTGCCGGGTGTTCTCCCAGCCTCATGAGCTCTGAGTTTTGTGCATTCCCACCCCTCACTGTGGGTTTTCTCTGGGGACCTCATCACTGGCACTGGCTCCAGGGGGCATCTGAAGCCAGAGCAGGGAGGGACCTTAAAGTGAGTCTGGACTCGTGGGTTAATGCTTCCAGATGAGAATGCTTCTGGGTGCTGTTTTACCCATGGACCCAATCTCTTCTGTAGGGGAAAGCAATGAAGTTGAAAGGAAAGAGCTAGACAGGGCTGGGACAAATCCCAGTTCTGCCACTTTTTAGCTCTGTGACCTTTGGGCAAATTCCTGTTTCCTGAACTGTCCAGTGAGGATAATTCTATCAACTAGTCTAGTTCTGAGAACTACAGATGATGTATTCGAGGTTCCTGGCCCAAAGTAGACAGTCAGCAAATTGTTATTAAAAAAAAAAATGTCAGGGCCTTGAAGCTGGGACCACAGAGGGGGAGGGTAGCTTTGCCTCCTTTTGCAGGGGGTTGCCTTCCCACCTGAGCTGAGAGGAGGCTGGGCGTTAAAATCTAGCTGAGAATAAAATTGAGGAGTTGAGGGGAGTGCTGCTTGGAGGGAAGACCCTGGGCTTGGGGCTACCCCTCTATCTTTCGGGGGGACAACTTCTCTTTGGCAGGGAGAGGGGCAGCTGCTTTGTCTGGGTCCCAAAGCCCAGGGGTGTAGAAAGGTCCGCTGGGGCAGGAGGGGGTAAGGGCTTCCTAAAGGGGCTGAGACCCTTCCAGGCTTGGCTGGGGAGGGAGGGATTAGCAGCATGGGGGAGAGGTCAGAACCCCAGCTCCTTTCTTTACAAGGCAGTCTGCTTCCCACCCTTGTTAAAATGAATTTAGAGGTGAGGGAGGGAGGCACTGGTGGAACTTAATAAGTCTGTAAATTGCTTTTTATAAAAAAAACCTCTAGCAAGTAGGCCACTGCACATGTCACTAAAATCTCCCCTTCCCAGGCAAGACTGCTTTGAAGGGAAGGCTGGCCATTCTTTTACTCTCCCTCGGTGGTCTGGTGAGGGAGGTGGGGAGGGAAGGGGCTGGAGTTAAGTGTGGGCCCCTTTTCCCACACCCTGTCCCTGGATACATGAGCAAGACCTGGTTTGACTAGAACTGAGACACTCGTTTAAGACAGGCAGAAGTGGGCTGGGGCAGAGGGGGGCAGAGCACCCGGGAGCCGGGAGGGTGAAGGGTGGGGGTGGGGGGCAGCTGGTGTTGCTCTCCCTCTGAATATCTGGGCTTCCTGTAAAAGAAGAAAGAAAAAAGAAAAAGTTTCAGTTACAGCTTATATTCAGTATTATTCTGTATTAGTTTCAGGTGTACAGAATAGTGGTCAGACAACCATATACTTTACAAGGTGTTCCCCCCGATATTTCCAGTATGCAGTGGGCACCATACAGTTATTACAATATTATTGACTATATTTCCTATGCTGTACTTTGCATTCCTGAGACTATAACTACTAATCTGTACTTCTCCACCCACTCACTTTTTTTTTTAACATCAACTTCCCAGGCTGATCCAAATAATAATGAGTGGCCCTTCCCATACATTTCTGTGCTTGAAGAAATTGCTACGGCTAAGAGCACCTCCTATATGCTGGACACAGAACTAGACACCTGGATGCTGCCAGGGATTGCCCCTGGGGAGTCTCCAGGGTGAAAGTGTTTTTAGGAAGGAAAGCAGGTGTTCTGAGGTGGGGGGGGGACTGACCTGCCCTCCAACTGCCTCTTGCTGTCTAGGGTCAAAGAGGGGCGCGGGGCTCATCCCTGCTCCCACCCTCACCCCCAAACCTTCTGGGCTGTGTTGTAGCTTCTGCAGGTCCACTTTTCGAGGTTTCAGTTTGAGCTTATCTCCCAGCGACCTCGCCTGCTAGGTCCAGCCCCCTCCAGCCAAGATAAGACAAGCTCTGGCCCGGCCTGGACCTCGCCTGCCCGCCCCAGGAGCCCTGCCCCTTAGTCGAGGCTGGAGCGAGGGCACCTTCATGGAGAGGTTCTCAGGCATGACCACCATGGGGGGCGGGGGCAGGAGGACGCCGGAGCGCTTGGGGCGGGGAGGGAAGG